GGTGCATAAGTTTCTTCATAATCAATGCCTTCTTCTTGATTGTAGCCTTTAGCTACAAGCCTAGCTTTGTTTCTAGTGATTACTCCATTTTCATCGAGTTTGTTACGAAACACCCATTTTGTGCCAATAACGGAATGATCATTAGGTCTAGGCACCAATTCCCAAACATCATTGTGTTTAAATTGGTTAAGCTCTTCTTGCATTGCCATAGACCAATGTTCATCATTAATAGCATCCAAAACGGTTGTTGGTTCAATTTGTAAAACAAAGGCCATGTGATTAATTGTGTTCCTAAGAGAATTACGAGTAGAAACTCCCTTCGTTATGTCACCAATGACATTGTCAATCGGGTGGTTCTTTAATGTTCTCCACTCCTTAGGAAGCTCCGTTTGTTCCTGCGTTTTCTCTTCTTCCGGTTCTTTTTCCTTAACGATTTCTTCTTCATCATCATAAGAACCTGCAACATTATCAACAATACCTTTTCTCGCCAAGCGAGCATCAAATTCATCAAAGACAACATGAATAGACTCCTCTACGGTCTTAGTACGCTTGTTGAATACTCTATATGCCTTACTACGAAGAGAATAACCTAAGAAAATTCCTTCATCCGACTTAGCATCAAATTTTCCCAAGTTATCTTTTCCATTATTATGAATAAAAACTTTACATCCAAAGACATGAAAATAGGAAAGGTTAGGCTTTCTTCCTTTGTAAAGTTCATAGGGCATTTTCTTGAGTATCGGTCTAATGACGGCTCGGTTTAACACGTAGCACGCGGTACTCACGGCATCCGCCCAAAAATATTTAGGAAGGTTTGCCTCATTGAGCATAGTTCTAGCCATCTCTTCAAGAGACCTATTTTTCCGTTCAACCACGCCATTTTGTTGTGGTGTACGGGGGGCTGAAAAATTATGTTCAATGCCTAATTCGTCACAAACGATATCAAAGCCGTCTTGATCAAATTCTCCCCCATGATCACTTCTAATGGATGCAATGTGAGAGTCTTTTTCATTTTGAACCAATTTAATGAATTTCTTAAAAGCATTAAGTGCATCATACTTATGAGCTAGAAAGAGTGTCCATGTAAACCTCGAATAGTCATCAATAACAAAGCCAAAGTAATTACCTCCTAAACTCATAGTCCTTGAAGGTCCAAAAAGGTCCATGTGCAAAAGTTGTAATGGCCTAGTCGTAGAAACAACGTTCTTTGACTTAAACGAGGCCCTTACTTGCTTCCCCTTTTGACATGCATCACAAATTAGATTCTTCTCAAACTTAAGTTTAGGAACACCAATTACTAAGTCTTTAGAAACCAACTTATTAAGATGGTCCATATTAACGTGAGCTATCCGACGATG